GGCTTCACGCTTTCGTCACAATCTGCCTAAATTTATGGATAACACCTGTTTCGAAAGATTGGGTGAATAGCCAATCAGACACCGATACTTTCGTTCGGGTAGCTAATTGTTTTTTTTTTTTTTTTTTTTTTTTTTATCGTTTGCAACGCAAATCCGCCAACAGATTGGTTAAGAGCCGTGTAATTTTAATTCCATATTCATGAGAAATCGTAATTCACACTTAGAATGGCAATCATTAGAAATGATAAGAAATGTCAAATGAGCAAAATTAAGGACCGTTTATTCATTTTGGCCAAAATTAAGGACTTTTAAGGACCGTACGAACCCTGTTTAACAAAATCCAATCTGCTAACCATGAACCGAATACAAAATCTGATCAAATAAACGGAAAATTTAAAGTGGCGTAAAGGTACACATATTCCATTTGGCATCAGTTGTACCATTATTGGCGACTCTATTGCCTGCACCGGCAAAACGAAAAAGTACTAAAAATAATTTTTGGCACAATATAAAATAGCGTGTGTGTTTTTTTTTTTATTATTTATTATTTTAAGTTTTTGGTCATTTTATTTCCTATCTTATATTGATGTCTTCTTTAAAAATCTTTGTGTAGCTTGTTTCCTTTAAACCATTTGCTGTGAGTCTAAGATATCTTTCTCTGCTCTTTTTAAATAACTGAAAGGTATGTGAGAAAACAATGAATCTGATATTAGGTTAAAAATTTCCGTTCTGACAAAACTGGAGTTGCTACTTATCTAAGATCTTTGATTTATACTCTAAATCAGTCCAGGGTTTATGTTTTACTATTTTATGATGTAATACTTATTTCGAAGAACTTTAGATTTTTAATTACTGTCATAAAAACTACTGTGATGAATTTTAATTTACTTTGAGTAATTAGACATATTCAATCAGCTTTGGTTATTCATTGTTTTGACAGAGTTATTCAACTCTTCGAAATTAATTGTTGTTCTTGGAAAAAACAACTGACAGCATCCAACATTGCAAAAATTCTACAATACGTTTATTCTTAGTATACTATAATATAAAAGTATACCACAATTTTTTTTAACCTATTTCAGAAACCATGAAAATTCTATGCAATATGGCAAAAATGAAAGTTCACAGGCATCACTAGTGGAAGGACAGTGTACAATTAAAATAGTAATCCTTCATGGTCTTGCTTTTCTTATTATAAATAAATTATAAAAATTAATTTCCTTCTGAATAAATACTGTAGACACATAAATCAGCAAACTAGAAAAGACTAAGATTACATAACATTCACCCGAATTCCATGAAATCATGTTTTTTAAAAAAGAGCAAAAATTCATTTATCATATTTAGATCTTGGATCTGGCTGGTACAATAAGCCTATGAATGTTTTCCCCATATATCTGGAAGTGATTGCACAGGCCTTTAATAATGTTAAAAATGAAGCATATACACCTAGAATGGAAAGCTGAAAACAAACATTCACCAAATGACAGCCATTTGCCAATCGAAAAGGATATATGAATTTTTGCTATGCCTATAGATTTTAATATCTTCCACTAACCGTCCATAATGAAAACATTATTCACGTACAAAATTTTTTACGTAAACATTTTCAAAATATGTTACAAAACAAGATGTCACAAATAAATTATTTTGGAAATAATTATATGTAGTCTCCCCTCGCAAAGAAAATATAACATTATTATGATTCATTAGTTCAAATTTTATTTGGTAACAGCTATAATGATCTGTTTAATATTTTGCATTATTGCACAATACCGAATATTTGTGAGAAGTTACTAGACATTTTCTCTATCACATTCTGAAGATTCAGGCTTAGCCCAGGGATTCCCAACCTTTTTCTTGCAATGATGTCCTTATATTTCTCTCTATAATTTATAGCATACAACATAATCATGATGCAAATACAATCATATATATAACTTAAATATAACAATAAGACTAAGAATCTGATCAAAAGTTTTGAAAAAAATCAATTTAAAAGAAGTTTTATTATTTTTTGTATTTTTATTATTATTAATTTTAGAAATCTAAACAAGTTTTCTGAAATGAAATTAAGATATTTATTGAATAATAGTTCAGTTTTAATAAATGTGATGTTCGCACTTAACGTATCGATTTTTTTTTTCCCCGTATAAAATAGCTTAATTTTTAAATCATCTCTTTCAAAAAAGTTCAACGTTTTGGTACTTTTCCGTTTTGCCAGCACAAACGATAAAGTCGCCAATGATGCCAAATGGAATATCTTCGCTGGTAACTATATCAAAACAAGTCGCAGCCATTTCTTACCAGATTGATTGTTTCTTTCAATACTGGCATACAATTACATAGAATATTTGCAAAGATAATTAAATTTTATGCCCCAAGACCATTCTCAGTATTTAAGTCAATTAGGATGCAATCACACCGCTCACCCACAGGTGAAAATATAGAAAAGGCAAAAATCAAGGGTTAAATTCATCAATTCTAATGAGAATGCACTAGCGAAGTAAAGCACTACGGTTGTACATAATTTCTCATTAAGCTATTCGTACAAATTGAAATAATTCTTGCATTTAAACTTGTATTAAAAATTAAGATTTAACTTCAAATTAACGTAGATAATTACTGAGAGAATTTATTTTTATAGTGTAGTTTACGTGAGATGAGATCACTTGGGGTCACATGATACGAACCGTTGAATCAGGATGTTAAACCATGATAGCATAGTAAATTCTTAAATTAATATCTTTTTACATATTTATTGGCTTTTTACAAAATTATAAACCATATTAAAATGTTTATGCCTTCAAAATAAAAAATTCTTAGAACTAACATGTTAACATTTTTTATGTGTATACTGTATTTTGTCGCCGACAAAGTCAGCTTGGTAAGATTTACACCGGCAAAACACAAAATTACCCATGTTTCTTATTTTCCATAGCAAATTAGGTAGAATGAGATTTAATCGGCAATCAACCGAGATATGATTTAGGTTAAAATAACACACCAAATAATGATTATTGGACAAGTTAAACAACAAGAATCAACATAATGTTTGTAAATTTTGAAGGCCTAATTTCAATGGTTTAAATACAGAACTATACAGTCAAAAGTCGTTAATTCGGACACCCATAATCTGGAATGATCTATAATCTGGACTTCAAAGCTAAAAACTTTCTGCGCATGCGTCGCGTTGACTTTTACGGCTGCGAATATGCGTGTGCACATGTGCATAATACGTTTACTCTTGCGCGTTTAATGTATAAAGGACGGTATAAGCTAAGCTAAAATTATCTAATTCAGTTGATGTTGCAGATTGCGTTGTTCCTTAATCCTTAATCCAAAAAGTGCAATTGCTGCAAAAAATGGATAAAAGCATATCCTTTGTTTCTCTAACTATTCCGAAATCTGTTTATCAATTTCACGCTGTTGGAAGAGGGGGAAACGCCGCGGCGTGCAATGAATTGGAAGTTGATTTGTTAGCACTATCCTTATCTTCAGGGCAGATGTTTTATTTTATTTGGCTTATAATTTCTTACTAAATGTAGTATTTCATATCGATGTACTCCGTCTTTGAAATGATTTAAATCAAATTCCTGGTCGTTATAATTTGCTTCCGATAAAGAAGAAAGTGACACAGAGGTTATTGAAAACGAAAAAATTTTGACTGACAAATTAGTTGGTATTCTCGACACAGCAATTATAGGACTTGAACAGCGGAACTTTGTAACTAAACAAGAAATTATGTCTGTTTAATAGAATTAAAGAGAAAGTATTATCACATGAAACGAAGCAACTTAAACAACTTACATTGAAAGAAATGTTTAATAAAGTCAACAAATAAATATTAAGTTTTTTCTTTTTGTAAATTTTGATACCCTTTAGATCATAATTGTTCTTTATTTCATAAATTACAGTTTCATATTTTTAAGTTTATAATTTCTGCATGCCATCTTACCAGATTTAAACTGATGATCTACAATCCGGAAAAATTGATAATCCGGAATCGCTGAAGTCCCGACGAGTCCGGATTAACGACTTTTGACTTTATTTCGTCAATAAATAATAAATACTCGTACAATAAATTATTGTATAATAAGTTGCCAAAATGAAACTTTATAATATGACAGCGAAAAATAAAAATGATTTTTAATGTTATTTTTTAAATATACTTTCAATATATTACCATTATTTTAATGAAATTTATCAATGTTACGATGTTTAAAAAAAATCGTCGAAAAATTCTCAGATCTCAGAATTAAAAATTTTCTATAAAAGCTATCTTAAAATCGCCAAAATGTTGATAAGTCGCCAAATTTAAAACCGTTTAATAAAAGAACTCGCATCTCCCAAAGCGAAAAGTTGTTTAAGGGTTCTTTATTAGAAAAAAACGAATTTTGCTATGCTTATGTTTCACTTCTCGCTTAGAACCTCGAGTATCCCATCACTCTTATATTAGAAATAGAAATAAATTATAACACATGAACCCATTCAAAAGATACGTCAGTGAATCGCCAAAAATATTCCTCCAAAATGCTAATTCACACTCAAAATGGCAGTCGTAAAGACAGACAGAAATTTCAGATGATTAAAATTAAGGACCTTCTGCTGATTTTGGCTAAAATTAAGGACTTTTAAGGACCAAAAATGAATTCCAAAAAATCTAAGGACTCTTAAGGACCGTAGGAACCCTGTTTTATGCACTTGAGAAATTTACATATAATGTACCAAGCATAAAATTTCAGTAGAAAGTTTCCAAGAATTATTTGATATTTATTTGCTGGATAGGCCCTAATGATCCCACCCTGACTCGAGTCAAGAGATCAAAAGTTGTCAAATTAGTAACCCTGCTAAAAGCATAAAATGTGAAAATGCTTTAAAATGTCACATGGCATTATTGTAAACCCACCATAATACTGTGAAGTAAGACCCAAATTACAATTCATTGCAGTATATAATTTGAAAAAGAAAAATTGTTTTTAGAACGTTTTCTTTCTTACCTGTTGAAGCAGGTGCAGCTCCAAAACTAAAGCCTTTATTCTGTTGCTGCTGCTGCTGTTGCTGATTAAAAGCAAAATTAGACATTGGCTGAGCTTGTTGTGTTGGATTAGTACCAAATGAGAAACTCATTTTGTTTTTTTAAATATCACCTGAAAATAAATATTATTCATTACTGGGAATATACTTAAATTTGTAAAAAACCTTCCAAATGGCAAAATGTTACTATTTCAGTAGCATTCCCATTTGGAATGTTACTAATGAAATTATTCAATAAAATTTCTCACATTGACAACCATTTCTGTACATGACAAATATTTCTAAGAATATAACAATGTAATTGAACATTACAGGTAGTCATATTCTTTACAGAAAACACCTCAAAATAAAACCAAATCTTCCCTAATCATGGATCATTCGCTTAGGTTTCACTGTAGTTTATGGAACTTTGTTAATTCTGTAAACTGCTTCAATAAAACGCAAACATAAAACTGGTGAAAAATAATCTCTGATCTAAACACATCTAAAATAAACCTAATTTACAACATGCGGAAGATTAACTATGGTTTCTAATTTACGCAAGCCATTTATACATACGTCAATATAAAAATGATTTATTTCTATAAATAAATAATTTAAATACATACTTCCATAAACTACAAAATGAGGAATTTGCTTCTAAAACTCTCTCTACATTTTGTTAATGTAAAATATGACAAATTTTGTACATTAATTTTGAAGATATAATATTAAACAATACTTTAACTGCAGTATTTTTGGCATTTCTGTTAGCTTTTATGAATTTCATACTAACGTCATATGGTTCTTTTCCCTCCTTACTGAATGTCTTTCTAATGCAAGTGGAAGCACATGTGGCTAGCAACTGGAAGATCTAGAGTTCAAATCTCTATGAAGGCGCAACTCATTTTTTGTGTTTCTGCTTCAAAATAAAATAATTAATGATCTCCACAAAGTGATAGGTGCAAGCCAAATTTGGCAATTTTGTTGTTAGATAACAATTTTAATCTGGTAAACTTACTTTCTTCCTTGTTAGTTAATGATTTTATTCAGGTAATCTAATTTTTTTGATAAACTGAATCAACGGGATTATGGAAAATTTATCTATCAATCACATGATATTCTCTACTTTTGAACGTTATTTGTTATTTTAAAAATTATGTACTTAGAAAGAAAGGGCAAAATGCCTGTGTTAAAGTGATGCATAGGGATGAATTTGACTGCAAATAAAGTTGAATGTTCTGTGCAGATGGATGAGATGTTTTTGGTAAATAGCTGGTGTGCAATGTTGAGGTTATACAATTCTGACTTTTTTTTTAAAGTAAAAGCAGATCACTGTATACACAGGAAGAACAGCAGCACAAAAAAAATTACAGAACAAGTTTACATAAAATGTATTTTATTTCTTTAATGTATCATATAATCCTTGTGTTGGATGTATATTTAATATTTTCATTTCTTTTTTTTTTTTTTTTTTTTTTTTTTTTGTATATTTTATTTTCTCACTGCTTAATTTTACGTAGTGATTTACAATAATTTTGTTACTGGCAACGTGCTTTATTTTACTATTAAGTTTCTGTGAATGGCAACAGTTGTTCATGCTTATGTTTCAGTAGAATAGCGTTCGTAGTCGCACTGTGCTGCAGGCAATTTTTCTCTTAAATATTTCATGTTTTAGAATGCAATAAGTTTATTAACAAATCTGATGCTTTATAGTTCAAGGCAACTACCTTGTTTAATATTAAAAATTTATACTTTAAATAATTAAACTACATTTTTTTTTTTTTTTTTTTTTATAATCTTTGCTAATTCAATGATAAACACTAATAGCTTTAACTGATTCTGAAGCTGCTGAACAATTTGCAGATGAATTCATTGAACTCATTACTAGTGAACAATTATCTCCAGAAGAAATTTACATCGCTGATGAACCTGGTCTTTTCTGGCAATGTGTACTGCGAAATACCTTGGCAACCTCTACAGAAAAGACTCCAATTGGTGTCAAAGATTCCAAAGCGAGACTAACAATTTTAGCATGTGCGAATGCTGCAAGAACGCACAAGTGCAATCTTTTCGTAATTGGAAAACATGCACGACCTAGAGCATTTAAAGGAGTAACTATTTTCCCCGTGATATATCGCGCAAATAAAAAAGCATGGATGACACAAGCACTAATGAATGATTGGTTTAAAAATCATTTTATACCAGAGGGTCGGCGACAAACGAAATCATTTCGAATGACAAGTTAGTCGGTATTCTTGACACAGCAATTACAGGACTTGAACAGTTGAACTTTGTAACTGAACAAGACATTATGTCGGTTTATAGAATTAAAGAGAAAGTATTAGCACAAAAAAACGAAAGCAACTTAAACAAACTTACATTGAAAGAAAGTTTAATAAAGTAAACAAATAAATATTAAGCTTTCTTTGTAATTTGATACCTTAGATCATATTGCTCTTTATTTCTAAATTACGGTTTCATATTTTAATTGTATAATTCCTGCATGCCATCTTACCAGATTAAATTGATGATCTAATCCGAAAAACCCTAACCGGATCATTGAAGTCATGACAAGTCCGGATACGGACGTTGTAAGTAATAAACTGTAGAAAAAACCAGACTGCTGCATTAAAGCTATAAATAAATTATCCCACTGTAAATAAATTAATTATTCCCTTAACATCTACCTATGACTTTCAAGTTAGCATTTCTTTGAAAAAAATCTAGCTTTTTTTTATTTTTATTAAACCATATATATTTTAATATGAATATTTACAACATAGTTCCAAATGTGGGCAATGAGAAAACTGAGAAGGGCAGTTTCTCAGTCTGAAACTGACAGGCAATAAGTTTTAAAACAAATACGAATGTGCTTTTAAAATTTGGTTGCTTAAATAATTTTGAAACAAATATTTAAGCAATTATTTCTCTACACAAATAATACAGTCACACATTTTTGCATGAATCACACCAAATCATATCACTTAATTCTTCACGTAAGTTAGTCCAAATTACACATAACTTTATAATTTTAATTCCAAAGGATTAAGAACTTATAAACTATCAGTTTATGTTCTCAATGTATGACCACACATACATACTTGCAAACCCAATTACAGTCAAAAGTCGTTAATCCAGACTCGTCGGGACTTCGGCGATTCCGGATTATAGATCATCAGTTTAAATATCGTAAGATGGCATGCAGAAATTCTAAAATTAAAAATATCAAACCGTAATTTATGAAATAAAGAACAATTATGATCTAAAGGCTATCAAAATTTACAAAAAAAAAAAAAAAAAAAAAAGGCTTAATATTTATTTGTTTACTTTATTAAACATTTATTTCAATGTAAGTTGTTTAAGTTGCTTCGTTTTATGTGATAATGCTTTCTCTTTAATTCTATAAACAGATATAATTTCTTGTTCAGTTACAAAGTTCCGCTGTTGCTGTGCCGAGAATACCGACTAACTTGTCAATCGAAATTTTTTCATTTTCACTAACGTCTCTGTCACCTTCTTCATGTCTTTATCCATTTTTTGCAGCAATTCCACTTTTTGTTTGATGGACATAGAAGCATACTTTTCGTTTTTGTAGATCCTTTGGGAGCTCAGCATCGGAAATTTCTATTTGACATAATCGAAAGTTCAAGTTTACTTTTATAAAATTGCTCTTACAGTCTGCAAAAAATAATAAGCCCGATCCAATTCGAAGATTAAGGAACAACGCAATCATCAACATTAACTGAAACAGATAATTTTAGCTTATACCGTCCGTTATACATAAAACGTACACGCGAAAACGTATTCTGCGCATGCGCAGTCGTAAAGGTCTTACGCGCACGCGTAAACGCCTATTCGCATGTGTCAACGCGGCGCATACGCAGAAAGTTTTTAGCTTTGAGGTCCGGATTATGGGTGTCTGAATTAACGACTTTTGACTGTATCACATTAAGCATATTCTTTCAAACTATACTACTCTGCATGCTATGATAGGAATCTGTGGATGTTCTGCTGTGTACTATAAATATTTGCTGAAATCTTTAATCATTATCATTTTGCTTCAGTACTGCATGATCAGTTTTAATTAATAATTTGATATACGGCAGACGCAACAGCTAACTAAAAATTTTTTCTGATTTTAGATAGTACCTACCAAGTACATTAAAAACTCATCTTCTAGGATACCTATCATAAATGGCAACGAGAGTCAAAGTCCTGCAGACCCTATTAAACATGATACAGTCAAAAGTCTTTAATCCGGACTCGTCGGGACTTCGGCGATTCCGGATTATCGATTTTTCCGGATTATAGATCATCAGTTTAAATCTGGTAAGATGGCATGCAGAAATTATAAAATTAAAATATGAAACCGTAATTTATAAAATAAATGAGCAATTATGATCTAAAGGGTATCAAAATTTACCAAAAAAAAGCCTTAATATTTATTTGTTTACTTTATTAAACATTTCTTTTAACGCGCGGATGCGTAAAGCATACCTTAACTCATAGCCGAAATTAGAAAATTGCAACCAGAAAACTATTTGATTTGTATTCGTGATATTTATAATGACGAGAATTTGATTTAAATTATATCAAAGACAGAGTACATCGAAATGAAATACTACATTTAGTAAGGAATTATAAGCCGAATAAAATAAAAACAATCTGCCCTGAAGATAAGGATAGTGTGACAGATCAACTTCCAGTTCATTGCGCGACGCGACTGCCCCCCCCCCCCCCGCGCAGAGCAGCATGAAATTGATAAACAGATTTCGGAACGGTTAGATAAACAAAGGATACGCTTTTTCATTTTTGTAGCAATTCGTTTTTTTGTTTGATGGACATCGAAACATACTTTCGTTTCTAGATCCTTTGGGAGCTCCAGCATCGGAAATTCTATTGACATAATCGAAAGTTCAAGCTTACTTTTATAAAATTGCTCTTACAGTCTGCAAAAAAATAATAAGCCGGATCCAATTTGAAGATTAAGGAACAACGCAATTATCAACATTAACTGAAATAGATAATTAGATAATTTTAGCTTATACGTCCGTCATACATTAAACGCGCACGCGAAAACGTATTCTGCACTTGCGCAGATGCATATGCGCAGTCGTAAATGTCTTGCGCA